GTGATGGGTTGGTGCCCCATCCTGGGTGTGTGAGTGTGCCCTGTGATGGGTTGGTGCCCCATCCTGGGTGTGTGAGTGTGCCCATCACATGAGTGTGCCCTGTGATGGGTTGGTGCCCCATCCTGGGTTGTCCCTCTGGCATAGGCTCCAGGACCTGTGCCCCCCTGAATAAGGCAAGCAGTTACGATGGATGGATGAAATTGGTTGCAGAATCACATACGTCTGTACTAGGCAGAGTTCATCTGGCTGTAATCAGGTGTGTTGGGGGGGTATGGGCTCCCTGGCAGAATCAGCAGGCCCAGCAGTAAATAGGGGTCCCAAATATTACACCCTGCTCAAGGTGATGTTTTTTCAGGTGGCTTAGAGTTTCTGGCTCTGTCCCAGGCATGTATGATGCCCCATCATGGGTGTCCTGTGCTTCCTTCAGGCCTCCATTACCCTTTACTTCATAGTAAGTGATAGATGATTGGATGAGTAGTATCTGTAGCATCATGGGAGGTAGTGCATGGATAATCTACATGGATAATCTACATGTCATGTGATTTGCTGCCTTTCTTTTGCATGTTGTCATTCTACATTTGCCGTATCATATTTGGGAATAGAAATAAGCTGTACCTACCTTTTCTTTATTTATCATCATCGTGGATATAACAAAAATTTGCCCAGCAACTATAGGTGTCAGGAAAGTCATGTGCTAAAAGTATAAGAACATGACCGTCCATGAGAAAGAAAGCAGAGCATAACCAGAGACAATCCACAGAGTGAGAGCACCTTAAAGGGAAAGACGTGCCTGAAATGCCCCCCAGCCAAATGTGCTTTTTATTTGCAGCCAAACAATGCCCTCATTCTCATTCCTTATTCAAAACGATCACATTTGACAAAGTACATAGACATATTAACAGCTACTTTTCCCTAATAGTATGTTTCAGTCAGATAAATATTTATTCATCCCAGTGCAGCAGCACCAGACCTATTCAACATATATTTACAATTTTATGGCCAGTACTACATTTTCATGGACTAGTTCTAGTTCTAATCTAGTTCTATAACAGTTGTATGAAGGCACCTGTACTTACCAGTATTATGAAACATCTGATTTCTGTAGCTGCTCCTATGTATCCAAGGACACTGATACCAACAACAACCAGGCCCATTATAAAGAGAGCCCCGGCTATAGTTTTCACAGCGTTTCCTAGGCAAATTTAAAACACAATAAAAATTAGAAGCTTACAAAAATAAAAATAGGTACATAAGCACTTGTGTTTTAAGGAATTTATAATGGCATTTAAATCTAAATATTGGAACTTACCAGCACTGATCATTACAATGAAGCTGATCTGGTCATATAAAACCCAGACACCACATCCAAAGAAAGCAAGTCCAAGTATCTCAATGAAAAAAAATCACATCACTTTAACATATACACAAGTGATTAACTTAGGTTAAATATTAATATTGATTGATTAATTATCAACTTTATTTTTAGTCATTCTCATTGTATAGCTACATAACATACAGAAAATATCCGAAACAGTAGTAGAAATCCAGTTACAGTCTTGGTGGTGAATATTATCTATAGACTTACCAAAAACATGCTGTTGAAGACTACAAAAAAGAACTTCAGACATTCAATTTTTTCCTTTACCTTCATGCTTTTTTAAAATCTGTTTTCAAAATGCACATACGATCAGATTCGAACAACTTATATCCCAGTCACACATCAGACGTTGCTAAAGGGCGCAGGTTGTCGGCAGGGTGCGCGTTTGAAAATGTAAGATGCGCTCAGTTTGTACCTCACCGCGTCCCACAGACCGTGCGTGGGCGCTGACTTCGTTTCCATGGTGGCAGCCAGGTGCTTCCATGGAAACAGACAAGCGCTTCCTCGACTCGGGAGCCGCAGAGTATGGACGACCTCGAAGATGTCATCACCGAAGAACTGAGCAGGCTGAGCCCGGCCAACGCGGAGACCACCATCTCGTCCGAAGATACGGACGACCTTAGCGAGGAGGATGGCGAAGCGGAGAACTCACCATATGCGGTAAAGTTCGCCTATTTTCGGAGAAGTTGGCATTGCGCTGTGAGGTGCGTGGCTTTCCTCTCATCCTGTTCCCGCAGGCTGTTATACCGGAAACTTTCCTCTCACGACTGCATATGGACAGCAGGATAATAGATGCCATCGAAAATGCGCTCATCAGTGGGAAACGTAAGTACTTAAACGCTTTGAACAGAAGCGTTTGTTTACTGAGTTACACTCTGATACAGGGCCGCCCAGGAGGTACTGGTGCCCTAGGCAAGATTCTCCTGAACGCGTCACCCCCACCCAGAGCAGCAGAAACACACTTTTTGTAAATTAATTTTTATATTTAAAACATTTCAGTAGCATTTTGTGTTTGGCTACTAACTAGCTAGCTCGTGTCTCACTGTCTGTTGTTCAAAAAAGTTGCTCTGATAACACTGGTCGATTTCAGATGAAGGTGAATCCGGTTTCTATGGCGGAGTCCGTGCCCCTGAAGAGGTTTTACAGGAGACGGGCACTTGGTGTCACGAAGACCACCTTCAGCCCAGAAATCGAGTAAGATGCGGAGCCGTCACTGCTGCCGTAACGCTATGTGTGATCGGTGTTTAAGGCGCCACTAAACGGGGCTCACGCTTTCATTTAGATCATCTCTGAAATGGAGGCGGAGGAATCAATGACAGTCCGTAGTAACAGACTCCCGGTGACGACATCCAAAGAAACCCTGACAGGCATGTAGGCACTTTACAAGCGACACAGCAGAATATAACTAACGAAATCAAGTGTTCTGTTTGGAATGTGTATGCTGTTCTCAGACACAGCCACTAGGAGACCATGCTCATATTAGAAGTTGTGACATTTGACATAACATTGTAGCCTATTTGGTGCTAAATCTACTGTTTAATTCTTTAAGACTTTCTAGACGATGACTTTTACAGAGAAGCAGAGAAAAAGTTCAGCTTTGATCTGGAAGATCTGGAAAAGAGACTGAAAGAAGATACAGAAAAAATAATTGCACGAGATAAAAAAGTGAAAGAACATATTTTGAAAGAGCGCAGAGAAGAAGAGGACAGAAGAAGGCACCGATACAGGATTTTTGAAGAGGAATTGAAAGAAATTGAATGGGAAACTATGGTAAGATGTCAAATATTTTAAAACAGCTGAATATTTAAAAATATTAAAATTCATATCCACTTGATAATCTATTTGTTGCCATTTGTTTGCAGCCTCAAGACTTTGGAATAAAGGAAGAAAATACATTACTGCTTGATTTACATAAACAAGAGGTATGGCATGGATCTGGAAGACATATATAGTGTTAGCTACACTCTTATAACAGTTAACCAGTGGTTGGCAAAGCTAACCAAAACAGTAGGTTTTATAACTGCTTATCCGCTAACTCCAAAGTTTAATTTGATAACCACTAAAAAATGTAGTGGAAGCTAACTATACCTGCTAACTGCTAACTTTTTTTATATGAATTTAGCTTTTATTTGCTTTTTGGCTCTGATACCCTTAAAAATCTGTCCTAGTGAGCTAAAACACTGAAGTCTCATCTGTCAGAGTGATTACTAGGGAATATTTAGGATTTACTGTATTGAGTATGATTGGATACTGCAGAGTCTCTGGAATAAACCTGTATTGAATTTTTCTTTCTGTGATATTCCGTTTGTGAGATAAGCCCTTTTTTGCAACTGGCCCATGCTGGCATTATGCCTTCAGTAAAGCCGATTGGGGACTACAAACATGGGGCCGGAACTAGGAAGGAGGGTCTCAGCTCTTTATTGGTCTATTGCTCTGTCAATCAGAACCCAGAATATACAACCGGGGGACTGTATAATGAAGCAGGATTTCTTGCTTAGGTGGATAATTTGTCGGATTTAAAGCAGTCTGAGCTAAATGTAAGTAAACAGAGATAAAGTCCATTTAAACTAGGATACCTTAAGTCTGAGTTATCCGACCAAGCAAGAAATCCAGCTTTGTGAGACAGGCCCCTGTTCTCTGCTTAGTTCAGGGTACCCCAGTTTAAGTGGACTCTATCTTTGTTCACTTACATTTAGCTCTGACTACCTTAAATTTGACATGTTATCAACAAATCACATCTTGTATTTACATGTAGTCAGTCAACAGCATGCCACATATACTGTTGCAGGCTTGCTCGCAATAGACAGGAACAAAAATGTTTGATTTTAGGGTTTACAATTTTTTTTATTCTTTATTCACTTTACCTGTGAAAAGATGTTAGCGATTTATATTTAGCAGAAGTAAATTTAGCTGAAGCTAATTGGTCTGGTAATAGTTTTCAAAGTTAGCTAACAAAAACGTAAGCTTCGCTAAGTAGCAGTTAGCGGATTATTGGAACCCTGCCCACCACTGCAGTTAACATAATAACTTCTGCAACCTTTCTAGGCAGTAATTGCAGAGCTACAAAAACAGCTGGAGGAGGAGAGACAGACTATTGAGGCAGCCCAAACCAAGGAACGCAGGAGAGCTGAGGAACTGCGCAACAGTGCAGCAGTGAAAATTCAAGCAAGTGTTAGAGCATTCTTAGTGTCTAAGCGGACAGCAGCGGTACTCAGCCAAAGGAGGAAGGAGAGAATGAAGAAGCACTGGGGAAAAGAGGAGATAGTAAGGCAACACAAAGAGGAACAGAAAATCAAAGAGGATGAAAAGAGAAAGCTCGGAGATAAAGACAAGTTTTGGGAGAGGGAAGAGAAGATAAGGAAGCAGACAGAGGAAGAGGGGAGAAGAACGAGAGAGATAGACGAGTGCAGGGAGAGCGAGGAGGAGATCAGGAAGGAAACAGAGGAAGAGGGGAAAAAAACAAGAGAGAAAGATGAGTGTGGGAAGAGGGAAGAAATCATTGTGAAGCAGACAGAGGAAGAGGAGAGAAGAGTGAGAGAGAAAGATCAGTGCAGGAAGAGGGAGAAGAAGATCAGAATTCAGACAGAAGAAGAGGGGAGAAGAATGAGAGAGAATGATGAGTGCAGGGCGGGGGAAGGGAAGATCAGGAAGCATACAGAGGAAGAGGGGAGAAGAATGAGAGAGAAAGACGAGTGTGGGAAGAAGGAGGAAATCATCAGGAAGCAGACAGAGGAAGATGGGAGAAGAGCAAGAGAGAAAGATGAGTGCAGAGAGGGGGAAGGGAAGATGAGGAAGCAGACAGAGGAAGATGGGAGAAGAACGAGAGAGAAAGATGAGTGCAGAGAGGGGGAAGGGAATATCAAAAAGCAGACAGAGGAAAAGGGGAGAAGAATGAGAGAGAAAGATGAGTGCAGAGAGGGGGAAGGGAAGATGAGGAAGCAGACAGAGGAAGATGGGAGAAGAGCAAGAGAGAAAGATGAGTGCAGAGAGGGGGAGGGGAAGATGAGGAAGCAGACAGAGGAAGACAGGAGAAGAGAAAGAGAAAAAGATGAGAGCAGGGAGGGGAAGGAGGAGATCAGGAATCAGACAGAGGAAGAGGAGAGAAGAACAAGAGAGAAAGATGAGTGCAGGGAGAAGGAGGATATCAGGAAGCAGACAGAGGAAGAGGGGAGAAGAACGAGAAGGAGGGAAGAGGAAGTGGATGAAAACCAGGAAGAAAAGCTACATGTAGGGGAACAGAAGTTATGGCAGGAAGAAGGGAAAAGAAATGAAGAATGGAAGGATAACATGAAGAGGGAAGAGCAGATCTATAGTACAATGGAGGAAAAGCAAATTGGAAAGGAGAAGGAGACAAGGACAAAAGACAGGTTCATGGTTGTAGATTTTTTGGAGCCACAGACTCCCAAACTGGAAGAATCAAAAAACAAGAAGTATGAGGAAGTCCAGAAACAGAATCAACTGGAGAGGAACCCCAGGATGGAGGAGGAGAATGTGCGGCGTAGAGAGATAATCAATAGATTCCAGGAGAATTACACAAAACAAGAGACAGTAAAAAGAACTTCACAGGATCCAGCATGGAGCATCAATGGAAGACACAGAGAAAATTCAGCCCCATCAGGTAATTTGATTCCATACAAATCATTGCATATATGCAAAACACAAAATCATAAACCCCACAGTGACAAAAAGCACTCTCTCAAAATTATCATTTAATTTCAGGGAACAAGACCGGAACCTGGAAGCTTCCAGATAATCAGCAGGACAGATTGTTGCATCCTCAGTGTGATGAAGAACAACTTGACAGTCTCTCCATGCAAAGGGCCAGTCTGTTCTCCTGTGTCTGCTCTGTGGACCCGTGCATCTCCCCTGAGAATTCAGTAAACAAAGGCCCAGAGATGACATGTCTGCACACATATGGAGCTGCGATGAATCCATCTGAGACTCAGGGTCTTCGTGGGGGTCCTGTGGACAAGAGCCTTCATCACCCTGCACCTGATGAGCTGCTCTCCAAGGACAATGTGCGTCTGCCAGACAGTATAGAGCGAAAGCGGGTGAGGTGGATGCATGCCTGCACCCCCTGGTCCAAAGTCACCTCACGGGGACTTACGGGACATCAGAGGGAGAAGAAGGTGGTGGCAAGACGTCCACCAAATGAGCTCCCACCCATTGCTGTGGATGTTCTTCTTCGGGCTGGTACATGCAGCTCTCTGAAACAGGTACATTAGGTCAGTGTTTCCCAATCTGGTCCTTGGGGACCCCCCGACAGTCCACGTTTTTGCTTCCTCCCAGGGAGCAAAAATGTGAACTACGCATATCTGGGAGGGAACAAAGACATGGACCATCTGGGGACCCCAAGGACTGGGTAATGAAACACTGCCTTAGATTATATAAACTTTATACCAGTTTGATTGCTGCCCTTATATGGAGGAATAGCACCCAGCAGAGTTGATGGTGCATGGCACATACATGGCAGGATTTTATTTAACTGGACAAGTTAATGAACTCGTTGGCTTTCCAATGTCTGTTTACTGTAGGTGACTACAGTGACCCTTGAAGATTTACCTGGCTGTAGCTTGTCCACATTATCTGAGTGCGTAAAACTGCAGGCACTGACACTCAGAAGGTGTGGTCTGATAGCTTTAGAGGGAATCAGCAGGTGTCAGGACCTCGGACACATTGATGTACAGGTAAATGTTGCACATGTTCCTCAAATGCTACTTCTTGTTTGATTTTTACGTTTGCTTTTCTTAAGTAGCAATTTGGTAAATGGTTTGTAATTTTCCTGAAAGGAAAATTCCATCAGGTTTATAAACTGCCAGGATTTGGTGAACCTCCGAGTCCTTCTCTTGAATCGGAATCAGTTGACATCGATCCATGGGCTGGAAGGTGCCAGCAACCTCGCCGTGCTGGAGTTATCGTACAACAGTATCTCCCGCATCAGTGAGTACTTGTTTGAAACTATTCCAACACTGTGATACATGGTATGACCACTTGGGGGCAGTATTGATATGTTGTTGTCAGAGGACATGCAGTGCTTTGGCGGGTAATTCTGTTATGGGTGTTTTAAATTTGAGGACTTGTAGGAGTGACACTTGTTCCTGTATTACTTAACATTTAAGGTGGTCTAGAGACTTTAACAAACCTTCAGAGATTACTGATCGACCATAACCAGCTGATCAGCACCCGGGGCCTGAGGGGTGTCTCTACCCTCCTGTATCTCGACTGTGCTCACAACCACCTTAGCAGCCTTGATGGCATCGATGGCTGTGTCCTGCTGGGGACACTGCGGCTGCAGGGAAATAACATATCAGAGGTGAGCCGCCAGCAGAGGGCGTCCACAGGGAAGGAGATCTTTATGCATAAGCATGATGCTTATATCTGAGCGACTCCTCCTGTCTCCTGGGAAGCCTCCCCGCCTGTCTGACCACGTGCTGATCAGGGAGCTGCACCTGGACGATAACAGTCTGTCGTCTTTGGACAGTGTGTCGGCCTGCTGGCTGCCGCTGCTCCGTCGCATCTCCGCCTCTCGGAACAGGTGCATCCATTGGGGGTGGGGAGGGGGGCTGGTCATCACGGGGGCTGTTGGCATGCTGCTGCTTCCTGACTCATTCCTATGATCCCCAGCATCACCCAGCTGCCAGCCCTGTCTGATTTCCTGTCCTTGCGGAGTCTGGACGTCAGCTACAACTGCCTGTCAGGTAATTCGTCAGCTATTCGGGAATAACCAGCTACAGGTAACTGTGCTCGTCAGTTATTCATCAATAACCACCTGCAGATAACTGTGCTTGTCAGTTAGTCAGGGACAACCAGCTACAGGTAACTATTCATCAGGTTAACCCCCTGTGCATTAGTAGAGCACAGTTCTAGTTAAAATGAAGGGTTGTTTTATATGACAGTTTTGTTAGCGGTAAGCCAATAAGCAAGCGTTAAGTGTGTGCTGTAAGCTGCCCAGTGACTGGCAGGTAATCCTCTGTTTCAGACCTGGCAAACGTCCGACTCGGCCTTCGGGGGTGTCCGCGTCTCCAGGACATTCATGTGTTCAAAAACCCTTTTCAACAGGAAGTCGACTGGAGGTACGGCATGCAAATGATTAACAGAACAGCCATAAAATACGAGATTTTAAGAAATTTTATGAAATGCATATTAGATTTTATTTAATTCTGCACTTTAGCCTGTTCTGCAACCTCTATTATTGTAGGGTAGCTCTGTGTCTAAAGGATTTTGGTCAGAAATTGCCAAGACAGAATAGCAAAGAAAGTAATTGTTGACCTGAATGGGTGGTAATATGGAGCAGGCTGTATAGGGGGTGGGGTTGGAAGGGTATGGAGGGCAGAGTACACATTCCACTCTAATACGGGGCTTCCTGCACCGGCTTCCGGATGTGTCCGCGTTATGCTCCTGCTGCAGATCCAGAGGTGAACTCATTCATTCACCATCGGTATTCACCGGCTATGGTGCCTTTCTAGTATTCTCTGAAACCTCCACTCTTTCTTTAGAAATGCAAAATGTATACTTAGCTGGATAAATAATATGCTGAAGGTGATTATGTTCCAAACAGGACTTCAAATTCTTCATCTTACTATTATGAATTGTAGTATTTAATTCAAACTGGCGTTAGGCCTGCGTGTTAGGAATAGACATATTCATTAATGTACTCTGTAGGATCAGTATTTTGCTGCAACACCCATCCATCCATCTATCCATCCATCCATCCATCCATCCATCCACCTTCAGCCAAGCTGCTCTCCTTGGTGTGGGTCTCCTGGCCTGTATTTCTGTCTATATACTTGTCCTTAAGGATTCCTGTTCTCTCACTGCATAAACACGCGGCAGTGAGCGTCGCCCTTAGCTTTCGGCGACGATGGCTCTGTTGTCCTCGTAGAGGCCGTCCCAGGACTCTGCTGAACTGGCCCTCACTCCCTACACCAGCAACGGGGTCAGCGCCCCTATTTCAGTCCTGCGCTTTCATCAGCTGCCAGTGACAACAGCAGCAAACCCAAAGAGCTAAGGAATATCACAGAGAGTTATATCCGCGGAGCATCGGCTCACGGACAGGAATGCATCTTGCTCGGGATGATTAATAGAGCTCTTTACAAAATAGCATTTGGAAGGAAGTTTTTCCTGAATGAGATACGGAGGATGCGCCTGTGAAGGGGCCGCGGGCGGCTGGCAAGCAGGGGAGAGCTTCGCCGTGTGCACAAGCTTTCATCTTCGCACGATGAGGGCTCTCCAGGGTTTCAGTGTTCAGCTCCCCGTATCTCTGCTGCCCTGAGCGGTATAAGTGATGCATATTAAATAAGTGCAGTATGCATATGGCTATAAGTAAGAGGACAACATGTTTATCCCGATACCTGTTTAACCAGGGGCTACTTACATTAGGGTAAGCTAAACCTGGGGGGTGTTCCACAAAGCAGGATTTCTCGCTTAGCCGGATAACTTGTCAGATTTAAGGTAGCATGTGCTAAATGTAAGTAAATGAAGATAAAGTCCATTTAGCCCAAAGTACCTTAGATTCGACAAGTTATCTGGCTAAGCAAGAAATCCTGCTTCGTTGAACGCCCTTATCTCTGTTTAATCAGGGTCTACTCACACGAGGGGTAACCCTAACCTGTGGTCTGTACTACGAAGTGGGGTTACTGGCTTATCGGGGTAATTTGTTGGATTTAAGGTAGTCTGGGCAAAATGTAAGTGAACGAATATGAAGTCCATTTAAACTGTGGTACCTTAAATCCAACAAGTTACCCCAATAAGCCAGTAACCCCGCTTCATAGTACAGGCCACTGGTCTTTGTTTAATCAAGGTCTACTTACACTAGGGTAACCCTAACCCGGGCTCTGTTTCACCAGGGGCTACTTACACTAATGTAACCCAAATCTTGATCTCTGTTTAATCAGGGTATACTCACACTAGGGGTAACCCTAACTTGATCTTTGTTTATCCAGGGTTTACTTACACTAGGGTAACCCTAACCTGATCTTTGTTTTACCAGGAGCTACTCACACTAGGTGTATGTCTGATTCTGGTGACTGACACACGTTTGATCACAAACATGTGTCCCATTGCTGTTTACAGAATTAAAAAAAATTTAAAACTGAAACTTGATCACTCTGAATCCCATTAAAATAAGATGAGCATTTTGTCTGCAGAACGATTTGTCTCTCTGTTAGCAAAACAGTGGTGACTGGAGATTTTTGCTTACGTTTTCAAAAGAAACGTATCATGACTCAATGTAAAAGACTGCTGTCTGTTATGGTATTTTACGGTATGTTCCTAAAATTAACATGCATTACAAAAAAAATGGAATGCAACGGACCAATTTTAACCTGTACAAAACAACTGATTATGACTAAACAGTTATTTTCTCTTTTCAAGCATGATGTGTCTTAGATGAAATAGTATATGAATGAAATAAGCTGTAATAATTAACATCACAATATTAAGATTGACATAACGAGCATTGTGTCCCAGCTGTTTCCGTTGCATTATTGCCACATTAGTTCCATGTAGACGGTCTGTCCAACTTTTGCTTTTGCTGCTGCCATTGGCTCCATCTTAATCATTTAGCTGTTCAGTTGTAAGGTCCTGAGAGAAATAATGTTTGGCTTGCAGCCGCTGTTCAGGTTGAGAGGTGAAACCAGGGAAGCCTGATCATGTTCAACATGTCATCACGTACTTGCTTCATGAGAACACTGGACTCAAACGCTCTTTTGTTCTTCTCTAAGAGGAATTTTGTTGACTTTTTTGGCCCCTAGATGTCAAACTTGGTATACAGTTTATACATGTTCTTAACTAGTTTCATCTGGTTAAGGTAAACAGTTCTGCTCTATAGCTCTGTAGACACTTGGGCTGTGGTTGATCTTCCCGGGACAAGTGATGGATCTGATTGCGGTCATATTCATTACAGATACATCTGAATGCTCGAATTGACTAGCAGGTCATGAATTTCTGAACACTCAAAAATGTGCCAGCTCTGGTCATGTGACTAGGTCATGTGGAGTTGGCATTCTGTTAGGATGTTTCCAGGCAAGATTGAAATTAGCTTGCAGGTTAACTTGGAGATTGAAGTTGCAAATATGCTTGCTTGTTTGAAATTGAAGATGGCTCATTGATATTGTCAGAAAGTGATACGGAAACACATTTATGTGATTAGAATATTGAATCACCTGCACATCTATGGCCTCTTTGTCCTATTCATGTAAAAATGTTGAGAGCCTGTGAACCATTTTTTGATATGTAGACCCCCCCCCCCCCCCCGAGTGTGACGTGGCTTGAACCCCAGTGTGAACCCTGCACCCACTTGGTGTCCCCTGCAGATCCGCCTTGCTGGAGACGCTACCTGGCTTGAGGGAGATCGATGGCGAGCAGATCAGCACATCCCCGGCCTCGGCAACGGATGGAAAATGCGAAGTGGTGCCTGGCAGCTTCACTGCGCTCTGCCAGTTCCAAGCTGAGCAGCTGGAGAGAGAGCAAGGCAGGCTGGACAGGGGGCGCCAGTGAGTGTTTCAGGCCTGCAGATTCACGGCCCTCTGTGAAGCCCAGTCTGGGTGGCTAGAGAGAGTGCAGGGCAGACAAGATAGCCTGCAGATTCGCAGGCTGAGCAGATGGAGAGAGTGCAGCAGGAGAAGTTGTAAGTGATGGATCTGCAGATCATCCCTAAAGGAAAGGTCACTATTCTGCGGGAAGCAAATGCCTTTGTGCGGCTGCTGCTGTTAGGGAGGCAAACATGGTCGCATCTTCGAAACGCCGCTTCACCTCATCGATATATTCTTCATTGGCATCAGAGATACTGCAGACTGAAATGACTGTAACACTTTAATTACCTTTTAAAACCTCAGAGGGCATCCTGGTGATGTGTTCAGCTGATTTTAGTGACCCTGTGGATTTAATACAGCGAAAGATGAAAGTAAGAGACCCCCCCAGAGCAAACCGAGCTTGTTCATGGCTGCGGGATTAAGATGTCAGATCTCCTCCCTGCGTTGTGGACAATGGTGCTTTTTTGCGGCAGGACAAAATAGTCAGTGCTCTCTCTAAACTTCTGACCTGACCTAGTGTCAGACGGCCCTGTGGAGACGAAGAACCTACCCAGGCCTGCTGCGGGCAGATCTGGAAGCTCGACATGCCAGGGCGGTCTGCGGACCGCGTAGCTGCCCTCTCAAACAACTGCTGTTCTCATTTTTTTCATATATAAGTGACCTCATTCTCTAAATCACTAATTTACAGAATTTTCACATTTTATTCTCGAGTTAAAATCGAACTATACCTTGTGTGTTTGAAATTGATTAAACATTATTAAAGTTATTCTAAATATTTTTTAAAAGAATTAATTTCTCATTTTTTCTGTAGACACAGATTGCTTTAAGGGCCGTGCCATCGCTGCACATGCAGATAAGCAGGTATATAGGGATGGAACAGGAACAGGAACAGGAAGTGCGGTGTGACTCTCGTTCGCTCTCGCTCTGCCTACCTCTCTCTATCCCTCCCTCTCTCTCACGCTCTCTCTCTGGGATGACATCCTGACCCACCAGCTACACAGGAGGCTCTTTGTAAAGGCAGATGCTCCAGCAGACGGTACCTGGGGCAACTTGTCTGACCCACCATGCGGTGGAGGCGGCCGCAGGGGTCAGCGGGCACAGGAACGCAGCCAGACGTGGCTATTGGAATAATGTGCCATTCAGTCGGCTTTGCTGATCCCCACAGTGAAAAGGGCCGCTGCGCCGGCCTGGAGCTAAACGTGTGTGTGTGTGTGTGTGTGTGTGTGTGTGTGGTCCAAGTATACATTACATTGTGGGGACCAAATGTGATCAAAAAAACTGAAAATGCCAAGAGTCTCATTTTTTGTTTAGTTACTTATGGTTAAGTTTAGGGCTGGGTTGGGGTTAAGGTTGTCATGTTTGGAGTTTTCCCCATAGGGATGAATGGAGAGTTCCCACAAAGTTAGAATTACAAACCTGTGTGTATGCGTTTGTGGTGATACCATGAATGGCGGCAATTGCATTCCCAGCCCCCCGAATACGGTTGTTGGATCAGCTTTTGAGATGCTGACAGATGTTACAGAGACAAGACACCAAAGGGTGTTTAACCAACATCTTCAATAATATCTATCAATAATATGTATGACTGCTTCAGTTCAATTAATAGTACAAGCAACAGAAAGAAATTAATAAATTAACATTCAAAAATATAATGCAGATTTTTTCAAACCCTGGTTGAATTAATCACACTTTAGTGTAATTGAAACAATTTTCACGTTTTAGACTAAATTTACTTGACACAGACTTATTGTTCTGATACGTGTGAAAATAAAAAATAACTTTGATTTAAGCGGTTTCCGTGGTGAGTTCATGGCTGTACATTACACTCTGTGTCTCTGTGCACATCTGCAGCCAGCTCAGTGAGAATCTTCTTCATCTGGCCGTTGGATATCGAAACGCCCATGAACGTGGTGACATGAGCTTCACTGACGGCCGTGAAGCAGAAGCACACAGCGACCTGCGGATTCAGCAGGAAGGTGCCCAGGAACTACAAGCCTTTTCCCAAGAACAGAAAACTGTGCTCCAGCTCAGGCCTCCGAAGCTGCCTGGTCCCACCTTGGTGGACAAAGACCCAGAAAGCTGCACACTTCCTCCATATGACTCCCAGAGGCCCTCCGAAGAAAGGGACAGGTATCCTCACCTGGACAACACACCTGTCCCATACTGCCCCCTGCTGCCCATCTGGCAGCACTGTTTGTTGGCTATATTAACCCTATCACCAGCAGACTGGTTTCTGTTTGTGTTTATTATAACACACTGTGATACATATATGGATGGATACGTATCTTGATTAATTAAAATCAGCTGTAATGAAAAGTTCTCATTTCTGTTTTTTATAGTGTAGGGATGACAGTCATTCAGCATCAGTGGCATAAATACAGCCATGATAACTTGAATGGAACCAGGGACACTGGAGAACACAGCTTAGTACGCAGTGGAGTACGTATGGATGGGGAATGGGCAGCCACTCTTATTCAGGTAAGGTACACTGCATCAGTCCCCTCAGGCATGGTCGAGGCAGACAGCATTAAACCTTGTAGGTACTGGGGAGGACATTTGAAACACTGCGTTAAACCTCAGAGGTGCTGGGGAGGCAATTTCACACATCGCTTTAAACGTTGGAAGTGCTGGGTTTGACGCACACCTTTACATCTCAGAGGTGCTGGGTTTGCCACACTGCATTACACTGCAGAGGCGCTGGGTTTGACACACTGCATTACAGCTTAGAGGCGCTGGGTTTGACACACCGCGTTACACTGCAGAGGCGCTGGGTTTGACACACCGTGTTATACCTCGGAGGCGCTGGGTTTGACACACCGTGTTATACCTCGGAGGCGCTGGGTTTGACACACCGTGTTATACCTCGGAGGCGCTGGGTTTGACACACCGCATTGAACATTGGAGGGGCCGGGTTTAATGCACAGTGTTAAAGCTCAGAGGCGCTGGGTTTGACGGGCCACATTACACCTTGGTGGGGCTGGGTTTGACACGAGTTTGACACACTGCCCTACATTAAGCAGTGAAGACCAAACACACACATGACTCCGACACAAACACACAGGGTACAGTCCCTCTGTTTACTGGCCCCCGAGCCCAGTCTGGTGGTAAAGCTGCAGCCCCCCCCCCCCCCCCACTCTAGAAGCCATTCTGAAAACACCGGCTGACACTTTAACTTCTCCTGAAATATCGTTTTCTCCCCTTGTTCCATGTTTAATGACTCCTCAAGGCTTTGTTAAATGATTCATCTGATTACGAAGGTTTGCTGTAGTGGGAGCTTCAGGATTCCAGTTTTCATACTTGTGAAGTTTTTCCATGGGGAATTTTAAGATTTAGAAGCATTTCAGAGCAGCAAATGTCACAGAAAGTTCAAATAACAGATTGCTTGACAATTAGACAGCGTTTAGAGTGTTTTATCTTCCTAATGGGATAACATGCAATATTTACATTTGCTTTTGATCTGTACCCCTTTGTTTTCCCTTCAGGCTGTTTGGCGGGGATATTCTTTACGGCAGAAGCTGGCCGTGGCTTTAGCCTCTGCTCAGATTAGCGAGGGGGAGGACGACTTTGATGAGGTGGACGTGGATGAATTTGCATTTGACGAGGTGGGCGGGACTTAAAGTCTTTCTGCAAGGTCCCATCATGTGAAATTCCTCCAGCTGATTAGCTGATTAGCTGTAGTGCTGCTTGTGTCAGTTTTAAGAACGCAGACGACAGCGCGCCGTATCAGTATGGGTGTCTCACCGTTCAGCTGTCATCTGTCAAGTCCTTTCCTTGTTTTCCTATACTGTACATTTTTTTTGTTCAACTCTTTAAAACTACAAAAAATATATCTATTCACATTCAGTGAATATCATTGTTGGTGGTGTTCTTTGTATTCTTGGAAATTAAATCAAGCATTATAGAGTATTTTGCTCTAGATATAACAAAAATGTAATATATATATAATATGGAGATGTGGACAGTTAGTGCACAGTACAGCATATGGAACCTTCTATAGTATTCTGTTTTACATATATTTCGCAAGCTAATATTATGCAGCGAGTGCTTTAAAGGCTATTAGCCATTGTGTCCTAAGTGTTTCAGGTTCTTAGTGAAGGTGCACTCTTGCAAACCCAGAACACGGTGCTCTGCTGCCCCTCTGTAAAATCTGCTTGCGTTGTGTAGCATCGGCAAAAAAGTGCCAAGGTGTTTGAAACTTCCTAACTTACGATATGCGACCCGTCGGTGTGTCTCTGATCAGGCAGCACTGGATGAGGCCTGGGTCACCCCGGATCCCGGAGGCTCCCCACCCCCCACGGTTCCCCTCTCTGATCAGGCAGCACTGGATGAGGCCTGGATCACCTCGGATCTCAGAAGCTCCTCTCTCCCCACGATTTCCCTCGCCGAGCAGCCGCTACGGCCAAAGGTAACAGCCTGGAAACATCCCGCTCTCTCTTCCTGGAGGATATATGGCGTTACCACGATTAATGCTGCAATTTATTACCCTGAGAAACACGATTACTTTAAGGAGCCTCAGATTTCCTCCCCAGCACCAGATGCCATTTTTCAAGTGGCTTTTTCTGCAGCATTGGACAGCACGCCGAGCTCTACATCACGGCAGTGGTGCTCTGACACGCTGCAGCTGGGAGTGCAGGCCACTCCGGGGAAATAAAACCATTAACGAACACAAATAGAGCGATAGGAAGCTGGAACGGGAGCCTGTCACTGCAAAGACCCGCCTCTGCCTGTGACATATTTACAGCGTTTTACAGCACTTGCACCCTGCTGAATTACAATGAGTGGTGATGTTAATCCTAGTGCTCTAAGTGCATCTTCATGCGCAGAGCTTGCTTGCTTTGGGTGGCGTGTGCCATGTCCTGTACAGTATGGAAATAGTGCATTTTGCATAGTGAGAAACATGCATCCTCCTTTTGACTGGACACCGCAGCCACCTGGAGGTCACTGCCCTGCATCGCTACCAAGGCCCAGAGGTGCGTGGCAGAGTAGCGAAGACAACGCAGAGCTGGACCCCCCTCGGAGGAACATGGCCAGGTAGTCGGGGGTTAACACAATGTTTACACAGTGACAGAATGCTGGGCATGTCTGACATGATGTGGAGTCAGTGGGGATGATACCGAACATGGTAAGTCAGTGAGCAGGGTATCTAACATGATGAGTCAGTGAACAGGGTATCTAATATGGTGAGTCAGTGAACAGGGTATCTAACATGATGAGTCAGTGAACAGGGTATCTAATATGGTGAGTCAGTGAACAGGGTATCTAACACGGCTGAGTCAGTGGGCAGGGTATTTAACATGGTGAGTTAGTGAGCAGGGTATCTAACATGGTGAGTCAGGGAGCAGGGTATCTAACATGGTGAGTCAGTGAACAGGGTATCTAACATGGTGAGTTAGTGAACAGGGTATCTAACACGGCTGAGTCAGTGAGCAGGGTATCTAACATGGTGAGTCAGTGAGCAGGGTACCTAACATGGTGAGTCAGTGAACAGGGTATCTAACATGGTGAGTCAGTGAGCAGGGTATCTAACACGGCTGAGTCAGTGGGCAGGGTATTTAACATGGTAAGTCAGTGAGCAGGGTATCTAACACGGCTGAGTCAGTGGGCAGGGTATCTAACATGGTGAGTCAGTGAGCAGGGTATCTAACGTGAGTCAGTGAACAGGGTATCAAACATGGTGAGTCAGTGAGCAGGGTATCTATCATGGTGAGTCAGTGAACAGGGTATCTAACATGGTGAGTCAGTGAACAGGGTATCTAACATGGTGAGTCAGTGAACAGGGTATCTAACATGGTGAGTCAGTGAGGAGGGTATGTAACATGGTGAGTCAGTGGGCAGGGTACCTAACGCAGTGAGTCAGTGGGCAGGGTACTTAACATGGTGAGTCAGTGAGCAGGTTATCTAACACGGCTGAGTCAGTGGGCAGGGTACCTAACATGGTGAGTCAGTGAACAGGTTATCTAACACGGCTGAGTCAGTGGGCAGGGTATCTAACATGGTGAGTCAGTGAGCAGGGTATCTAACACGGCTGAGTCAGTGGGCGGGGTACCTAACATAGTGAGTCAGTGAGTTGGGTACCTAACATGGTGAGTCAGTATACTGGGCCTGTGCACAATTAAAAATTTGTAAAATTCCATCCATCCATCAATCTATCCATCATTTGTAATAGCTTGTCTTGGTCGCAGGGAGTCTGGAGCCTATCCTAGAGGTTACGGGCACATGACAATTAGTTAAATTGCTTTTAGGAAAGTAAATTTTAAACATCTTAGTTTTGTTTTCTGTAACTGTGGCTTCTATTATATTTATATGTTGTTTGTGTGTGTGTGTGTGTGTGTGCGCGTGCGTGTCTGTGTGCGTGTCTGTGTGCGTGTGTGTGTGTGTGTGTGTGTGTGTGTGTATTTTTTTGTAGGAGGAATGAAACTCCAGTGGCATGTGGGGATTGTGCTTTTTCAGAAAAATCTGAGCAAATATTAGAGGAATGGTGAGCTTTTCCTTTCGGTACTACAGTGATGTAATGAACCAGAATGTACTGCTAGTGTCTGCACTGCCCCCCCCCCCCCCTTTATTCAGTCACACAGAATGGAGGACATCACCTCTGTGCTGGTTTCAGGGTGTCTAACAGACTTATCAGACACCCTCTTTGCTATGTGGCCTCACCATTTCCCCAGGGGAATTACAGACCAGTATACCGCACATCTGATGCTAAAAAGGGCACAGAAAATGGGCCCCAAGGAACAGCAAAGAAAATTGAGGGGTAAGTAAAACAGGGTGACTGTCCTGTGCTGTGTGCCCATGGTCACCAACGTCCATTCATGGTGGCCGCCTTTATATGCAAATATTCCCAGTCTGGCTGTGCAGTTTATTTTATGGTGATATTTTTAAATACTTATTCTGCGTCAGTAAGGAAGCTTTCCTGTTTGATTAAGCATAACCAGCTATGATGCTGAGCAGTCGCTTCATCTTGCCAAAAGGTATTTCTGAGCCTGAGTGCAGTTGCATGAATTAGCTATTTTTATTTGCCACTCTGAAGTTTGACGTTTGAACTTTTCAGCTTCAATAATCCACTGGAGCACCAGAAAATTTCAATGCATCTGTGACTCAGGCAGCTTCATTTCTTTAAAAGTTTGTTTAAAAGGATCAGTAACGTAACGTGTAGCCAGTAATTACATCTGTACAGCCGCAAGCAGCATTTCAGAAACATGAAGTGATTTGCACTCGTGTAGGACAACCTCCGAGCACAATGGTTTTTACTCTCGGAGCCGGACGTGTTTGTTCCCAAATGTTATTTTAAAGTTGTATCAGCATTGGAACTGACAAGCTGATAATACTCTGGTGATGGTCCCAGAGTCAGATATCAACGGATTATCATCTGTGTCCTGCCTGCATGGAGTAGGCAGAGCACCGAGGTCTTCCCAGTGGTCAGATCCAGCTGTGCGTCTGGCACTATTCAGAAGCAGCAAAAACAGAGCGGCCCCCCTAAAAGCACAGAAGAGAAGTATCCCCGAAACAGAACACCATAAAGGTACGCCTCACCATTAGCTCTCGTTTATCAGGTTATGGAGGTGGTTACCATGGTGATATGATACCTGCCTCCCGTCCGTCTCCGTTCCTTCAGTAGATGAGGATATTCATTATCAAACGTTCTGCACTTTTTAGATGTGGGCACCACATTTCTGATTTAACAATGATAAGTAAAAAAATATCTACATGAGATCTGACCGTGATCTAGATGCCAGCATGTTAGATGTTAGATGATTGATTTTTTTTATGTAGGATACCTTTGAACACATCTTTGAAAATCTGCAACTGTTGATGTGTAGTGACAGGGGACAAACAGGGCGATTATGTTACTATGGCATGCTACGCGGACCACTCCGTGTCTGAAGTCAGGTGAGGTCACATGGAGATGGTTCTGAGGGATCGCTGAGAGCTTTCAGGCTGTTTCTATATGAATGTTTGTGGGATGAGTGGCAAGGGCAGCATAGAGTTGGGGTGCAGAGCGTCTTGCTCATTGACCGCTGTAGACCCTAGATAACAACAGAGATCAGCAAAAGGAAATCACTTCTCCTTTCATGAACACTTACAGGCTCCTTACCAGTCCCCACATGTAAACTGATAGCCATTTCAAGTAGGTTACTCATGTCCAGTACATCCACAAAAGGTCCAGGATAAAATAAACACGGCGAGTTGGATATCTCAGAAAAAATCTGTCATGGCTTTGGACTAATCATCTCCAGAAGAGCTTTGACTTGGTGCCTGAAACGCAACCCGTGCCGGAGGAGTGCTGTGGCCTAGGGCATTGGGATCTGAGAGGGTGCCTTCCACGGGTCAGAGTGCTGTGGCTGGCCAACTGGGGCCAGGGCCTGGGCTTTCAGACAGCTGCAGGAGAAAGAGGTGGAGGAGCGAGCTGGAAGGGCAAGGTGGAAGGGATGAGGTGGAATGGTGAACTGGAAAGACAAAATGGAAGGGTGAACTGGAAAGGTGAGGTGGAAGGGTGAGATGGAATGGTGAAGTGGAAAGGTGAGATGGAAAGGTGAACTGGAAGGGTGAAGTGGAATGATAAGGTAGAAGGGTGCGATGGAAGGGTGAACTGGGAGATGGAAAGGTGAACTGGAAGGGTGAAGTGGAATGATAAGGTAGAAGGGTGCGATGGAAGGGTGAACTGGATGGGTGAGTTGGAAGAGTGAGATGAAAGGGTGAACTGAAAGGGAAAGGTGAAAGGGTGAGAGGGAAAAGAGCAGTTTTATCTTCAGCCCAAGGACAACCCAGTGCCACAAAGCTGCAGCCAGGAGGCCATGAAACTGTGACCAGTGCTGTGAGCTGCTCTTTGTCAGCCCTGTAATGACGTTATGACGCGAGCCGTATCCTGTCATGTGACATGACAGGAAGCAATGCTGGGAGCCAGTGCACGGCCCAGTGAGATGGCGTAGCTCTTAGCGGTAATGTTTTGTTAGCTGTTAGAGGAGCCTGCAGGTTAGCGATGTGACCGCCTCCTCCGCATCGCGAGCAGCGAAACACGATCACCGGCCCCCTCGTCATGCTTAAATCAGGCTTGTAACACGCAGCGGAAATACGGATGTGTAGCTGGAAGAAATGTCATATGTTAGCAAAAGGGTTGGTCGTGCAGTGGGTTTAGCTTAGCTCATTTTGTGTGGTGTGCTTAGCTTAGCTCATTTTCTTTGTTTTTAGTTTTAATTTTGAGCCATTTTTAAGCTTGTCATATCCCTAAAAACAGCTGTTTTCATTATTGTTTTTAAAGGGAGAGAAAAACAACAAGAAATCGTATAATAAATATTTTTATGTGGGACTGCAATTGTTTTAGGGATGCAATTGGAACATGCTGTGCTGTTTATCAGTGGAGTGTCACTGCCACCCGTAAACGTCACACACCGTTTGGCTGTGAACAGCTTCAGTCGCAGTCCCAGCCTGTCGCATCCAGGGCACGCTGACCGCTCAGTGACCACGGCTAGGTTCCCTTTTAAGAGGTGAGGTCCTGACCCAGAGCACAGAGAGCGGGGGTGGACCCCCCCCGATAAAAGCTGACCTTTTCCTTTAAGTCTGCCAGTTGATCTCACGAGGGAAATACCTGAGGCTATATTTAAAACAATAAGGTCAACTTCCTCTGCGTGTCGGGGAAAGTGTTTTACTGAGTGCTCTGTGCCGGTTGTGCACCGATGTTCATAATGGGCCTGTTTTAATTCAGAGAACTTTCTGGAAAACTTCTCATGAATGCAGAATCCCAAAGTGCAGTAAGTGTAGTGAGGATCGAGCCAGATGCTGAAAACTGCACCTTATTATTTCTTTATGATTTGAATGGGGCTGCGTGTGTCCCTGGTGTGTCCACACAGTGCAGTGTGCACCTCTTCAGCACTCGCTCATGTCCTGAGCCCCTCTGCAGTCCCTCACTGGAAGTCCCTCAGTGTCCCCCTGAAAGGCTTCATTCTACTACAGTGCTACAAGTCTCCAGCTGCCTCGATAGTGACCCAAGATTGGATAATCCCCAGAAAGGGCGCTGCCTAACAGGCATGACTCCGGGTCTCTCTGGGGGGCCATCCGGGGGGGTGGCGATTTGTGCCTGACTAGTCGGGGGCACGCTGAAGCGAAGTGGTCAGATTCAGGAGTCTGCTTTTCCTCATTGGATGTTCATGTTTAGACTGATTGGACATCCACCTGCTCCTGATTGGACGTCCCCACACACAGCTGTCCACCATACCGAACAGTATGATCACGCTGACCTCCCAATCACCTGAACATGGAGAGTAAAAATACATCCCTTAACTAAAAAAGCAATGGTATATGGCCAGTCACAGAGAACCTACTTGATAAGGTGTTGGTGTTCAGTAATAAAAATAATGTCCAATAAAAATGATTGATACGTAAACACAAGCACGGGCGTAGCTAGAAATTCTGGGCCTCTTGACAAAATGTCAACTTCGGCCCGCTGCCCCATTTTACATTTTCAAGCACCCCTGTCAAGCATTGGGACGCCCAAATGTGCCAGGCTATCCATTCTCTATACTCCTGGGTGCAAGCATCGACGTCAGTGAAGTAGACGACTCTATATT